TATTTTAAAAATAAAAAAATTCATTTAATAAAGTAAAATATTAAATTTTTTTGATATTTCTAACATTTTTAATAAGAAAAATTTAATTTAAAATTTATTAAATTTAGATTTTACTTTTAATATAAAAATTTAATAATAATTCAATAAAAATGATATTTAATTAACATTTTATAAATATTTTTATTAATTTAATTATTCAAATTATAAAAATTTTTAAAACAACTATTTCTTGAACTATTACAACATAATGCAATATTACATAAATTACACAATATTTGAGATTATGGTGGAGATTTTGAACTTTTTTCATTATTTTATTTTACTAAGTATTTACACCATATACAAGCTATTCTATTGTCTCTCTATTCTGAAAAATGATTACCTACAATTAATCTTTTTAAAGGTAATTCAAAATTATTTGTAATATAATTTTGTTTGATATTTGATGTTAATGCTGATGTTGAAGTTGATGCAACTTTTTACTTACCTTTACTATGCATTTCTCTTTTATTTTCTAATTTTAAACCATTTTCAATTAATTTTCATACAATATTTAATCTAAATAATTTATGATTTACATTATTATTATTTTTTATCTTTGAAATTAAAAATGAATTAATTAATAAAGTATCTAATAATCAAAAAAATATTGGTAACCAAGTTCTTCATACAGGAAATTGTATAATTTAATTAGATCTTAATTGATCTGCTATATCTACACCTTCCATAAAATGATTATAATCATCTATTACCATTGGAATAGGTAACATTGTTCTAAATTCATTTTCAAAAGTAGCTCGTACTTTAGTTGCATTAGTGAACGTCGATGATTTCATTGAATAAATGTTGTATACTATTAATTTAATGTATAGTTGTTAACATAGTAACAGAACCATTGTCTATCCATAATAATGCTAAAACTTTATCTATAATAACACCAGAAAGAGTGTTTCAATCTAATCTTTTTTTTATTTTTAATATTTTTGGAAATTTTGTTGAATTTGTTTAAGTAGTTCTACAAGCTCCAAATTTTTTATTTCGTAAAAAATTGAATAAATTTATATTTGAAAAAAAATTATCTATAAAAATGTTAAATGATTTATTAGATGGTAATTATTCAACAAGATGTCAAACTTCACAGCTAGTTTTATTAAGTCCTGGAATTGTTTCAATATTTGGATGATAATTAACTCGAAAAAGAAAAATAAATGAATATGTATATTCAAAATCACACAAAGATAAAATCTTGTATCCTTGAGGAGTTAGTTTATTTTTAATTCTAAAGGTATGTGAACTATGACCAGAAAATCATGAAATCATTTCATCAATTGAAATATTTGAACCTAAAATATAAATAGATTTTGAAATATCTTTTATATGTATTGCTAAGGGTTCTAATTTTAAAAACCAATAATTAGTATTAACAGATTAGGTAATATCAGATATATATATATATCGTTTAATCTAAAATAAAAATAAATTTTATTTAATAAAAATTTTTTGATTTAATAATCAGACAATTGAAATTAAAAATATATATTAAATTAATAAATATATACTTATTCAAAGTGTAATAAAGTTATATAATTTGTTATTTTATGTATTAGAAATTGATTATTCTTATTCCAGTAATCTCTAATAGAAGGTGCTTTAAAAATTCTAAAATATATTAACAATCCAAGCCAAATACGTAACTCTGATAAAGTTAATAGTACCCATATTCTGCCTTCACCAGCATGTTTATTTAATGCATATATATTTGTATTTTTAACAATAATATTTAAAATTTAAATAATGAAAAAATAGAATATTCTGGTATAAAATCAAGTTGTTATATATTATAAGGTAGATTGAGAGAAGCATGATGTAAAGCTTTTTAATAGTTAAATTTATGAAAGTGTAGTGATAATGGAAGCCTTTCATTTTCTTCATTATTTTCAACTTCATTCTCATTTTCAATTTCATCTTCAATTTCATTTTCATTTTCTTTTTCATTTTCTATTCTTAATCTTCCTCTTTCTTTTCCTCTTTGTTCTTTTGTTCTACTTGGTTTTTTTCTTCCTCTTGGTTTTTCTCTCCTTATTCCTCTTGGTCTTCCTCTTGATACTCCTTCTTTTTTTCTCTTTCTCTTCTTATTCCTCTTGGTCTTCCTTTTGATACTCCTTCTTTTTTTTCTCTTCCTCTTCTTATTCCTCTTATTCTTCCTCTTGGTATTCTTCTTTCTGTTTCTTCTATTTTTGTTCTTCTATTTCTTCTTCTGTTTCTTCCTCTATTTCTTTATTATAATATTCATTGTCAAATAATTGCGTAAATTTCTAATAATGTTATAATAATATAACTCTCCATCTGTATCAATTTCTTTGAGCTCTTCAACCCATTCTTTAATTCTAACAAAGGGTTCTATTTATAAAGATAAAAACAGCTATCTTAAATTTTTTGAATGTTTAATGTAATATTTTAAAGAAATTAAAAAAAATGATAAATTTGATAGTGAAGTCAGATGCTTTTATTCCTGCTAATACTGAAAAAAGAATATGATAAAGTAGTTGTATGTCAAATTCATTAAAAAAAAGAGGTTACATTATAACCTTATTAAATTCACGAATTAAAAAAGATAAAGGTAAAAGGACAGACAATTTATATAAAGAATTGATGAATTTATAAATAAATAAAAAAGAAATTTAAATAATAAGAATATGAATTTATGTAAAGAACGAAATGAATTTATGAAATAACGATATGAAAAGGTAAGAATAAGTATGAATTTAAATGAGAAAATAAATTTTTTAAAAAAAAAAAATAAATTACGTGAAATTTTTTTTTTCTGAACAATTGAACATACTGATATGCATATAAACTACACTATTAAAAAATTCACACAATGAAAATTCTAAAATTCAAATGTTTATGCACGTGGATTTTTTTTTACCCCATTTTAATTTTTATTTGATCAATTTTTAGCTTAGTCATCGCAGAATATTCCAGTTTCATTCAAAATGATTTATGCCCAAATGATTTACACATGATAATGTATACTATTCATGAATTTTCATCCAATCAATCATAATAACCTTTTTTTGCTGCTAACTCAAAATTCTAACTTATATTTGGCAGTCATTGTTGTTTAACAAAAAACTTCAGATCAGATAAGATTATAAACTAAACTAAATCGAATAAAATTTTGGATGGATCAGAGGGTTTGTATTTAACAAAACTTTAAATGATATAGATTATTTACAGATTGATCAATCAATTGATCAAATAATAAAAACTCAGGTGAAAAAAAACAATAATTATTTAATAATAATTTTAATTGCAAGAAGTAGTATTATGATCGTTTAAATAGTTTGTTAAAAAAAATGTGATTTTTACCATTTATATATCTCCGATATGAGCCTTACTTCTTATTAGCAACTAAGCTTTATGAACTAGTTTTTCTTCTATTGTTTAATATTTTTATATTCAGATTTAATTACTTATGTGTTGAATTTAATTAATTTCACGATTTTAGTGAGTAAACGATTTATAGGAGCAGAAAGGATAGTGAAAGTATTCTATCGAAGAAAGTTACCTTAATTGCTGATTCATTGATTACGTCATTTAATCCGTTTAGCCAATCTGTCATCTATAATACATTAATAAGAAAACATTTTTTTAGTATATTGGCAATACAATTTATCTAAATGCATCATAAATACGATTATTATCAATTGTCTTCATATTGTCTTTTGATTTACTAACAGATTAAGATGAATCATTGAAAATTTGTCTTAAATTATTAAAACTACGCTAGAAGGATTACAATATTTTTTTTAATGATAAGTTAGAAAAAGAAACATACAGATATAATATATCTTCATCACGAAAGAACCTAAAAAAAAATAAAATTGGAAATTTAATAATCAAAAAAAAAATAATGTAAAAAAGAAACGGAAAAAAAAAATTATCTATCACATACTGGAAAAATATCAACTATCGCTGCAATCTAAAGTTATCAAAAACCAACCGAAAACAAAATAATCCAAATTTTAAAAAAAAAAAAAATAAATAAATAAATAATTAAGACAACTTACCCATGCTAATAATCTAATTAGATGGCTTTGGGATCTACCTATATCCCTTCCTGATCTAAAGGAATTCCTTCACCTGATTTCTCAAAAAAAAACTCTTTTTCTCTGATAATATTATGAAGTTTTCTTAATCAGGGACCTTTATTTTCAAAGGCTTTTTCTCTTATTTTAATAATTTTCTCTTCAAATTTATAAACTACATTTTGGAATTTTTCTGAACTACCGAAAGCAGTTTATAAATTTTTAAGTCTTGCGTTTTATTTTAACTTCTGATATATTCGCCATCAATAAAGTTTTTTTCACCAAAAATTTTGTAAAGATTGATGTCTTGACTTACATTTCAATCACCTTTATATTCATCACCTAATTTTTGTTATGTAAGCATAAAGATAAAACATATATTAACCAAAAATTGAATTTTAAATCAGCACATAAAAATCAATAATAAACATTTTTTTTTCATCTCATTTAATTCCTAGATTTTGTTATTCTGACATAAAATTTGATCAAGCATTCCTTATAATTTTTTAATACTATCAATACCTCGTTATATAAACATTCTATACATTATTATAATATCAGTAACGCTATCCACCGCAAGAAAAAATTAAAGAATTTTAACCTTAATAAATAGATTTATGAAATCTTCGAAAGATACTTTGAAAAATTAACTGTTATTAAATTAGGTTTGTGAAGTTAATACTATAATGCAAATCTATCATATATTCGAATATTATCATCATAAATTTTTAGTATTGTAATATATTAAAATTTAGTGTAAAACAAATCTTTTAACCATTAAAAGTATAATTTTATAGAAAAATTCAATAAATGACGTTTTTATTGTTAGAAAAAATTTAAGAAAAAATTTAAAAATTTTATTATTATTATTAAATTTTTTTTTTTATAAACTGATAAAACTTGATCTTGGTAAAAAATCTATAATAATATATAGCTAGTTCAGATACCAATAAATCCTTAATTTTTTATGATCAATATTAAATTTTCAAAATTATAGGCAAATTTGCCCGCAAAACCGTTGAAGGGATATATATATTTTAAATGATAAACATAATGTTGAATCTGAAACAAATAAACAGATTTGTGATCAAAAAGATTCTAGAAAGGCTATGATAATATACTTATTATTAAAGTTTAATTATATTTTTTTTTTTACTTTGCTAATTTTTTTTCTTTTATGAAAAGGAAAAAAAGCGAAAAACTTCTAATGAAAGAGATGGTAGAGATGGTAAATAAATATTTTCTTTAAAAGGGTTGATATTTTGACAAATTTATACTTAGTAATAACTTTATTTTCTTTTTAAAGAAGTGATCTGCTTCAAATGTAAATACAAACGTTTTTTAAAGTTTTAATTTTTTGATAAATTTATGCTTAATAATTAATAATTTTCTTTTCTTTTTAGCTCAAGTGTCTGAGCTATCAGCTCAAATTGGTAAATACAATATTTTCTAAAGTTTTGAATTTTTTGACAAATTTATCCTTAGTAATAACTTTATTTCTTTTTAGCAATAGCAATAATTGAGTCATTAACTTAAAATGGTAAATACAAACTTTCTTTCTTTAAAAGTTTTGACATTTTGACAAATTTATCCTTATTAATAACTTTATTTCTTTTTAGCAGTAGCAATAGTTGAGCCATTAGCTTAAAGTAGTAAATACAAACTTTCTTTAAAAGTTTTAACATTTTGACAAATTTATATTTAATAATAATTGTATTTTCTTTTTGACAGCAGAAGTTTTAGAAAATTGTAAATACAAATTTTCTTTAATAACTCTTTATATTTTTAATAATTTATTTTTTTTTTTTGCTTTTTTTTTTTACTTTTTTTTTCATTTTTTTTTAAATTATTTTTCTTTTTTGTCTTGAGAAACGGGACTCTAAAACTTTAAGTCCACACATTTATTTTAGGTAGCAAGGCTCAATACGTACCAAATATCAGCTAGAGACTTAAATTTTTTTTGGGCTGTTAAGGTATTGATGTCCTCATTGTGCAGCTTGGATACTATTTATAATAATAATAACAAACAAGTACTAATTTTATAAATTATAATAAATCCATTAATTCTTTTATTTTTAGTATAAAAAAATATTAATTTGTTAAAAAAACATAGAATTTCTTTAATAAAAGTATATTAATTTTATTGTAAAAATCTTATAATTTTCAATATAATAAATATAATTTTTTTTTATTATTTTACATTTTATCTTGAGTAACAAACCCAGTTTGTATCAAATATTAGCTGAAGACTTAAATTTTTCTTGTTGTGCTTATCTGAATATTATTTATAATAATAGTAGCAAATACTTATCAAAATATTCCTAATGTATTTTACATTTATTTTAAATAAAAGATCCAATTTATATCAAATATCAGTAAAAACTTAAATTTTTTCATTGTAATACATAACAAATTTATTAATTCTTTTATTTTCAGTATAAATCAATCAAAAAAATATTAATTTTTAAAAAACGTATAATTTTATTATAAAAA